CCAAACATTTCGATCATGTATTACAAAACATTCGATCATGGATTACAAAAAATTCTATCATGGGTTACAAAAAAAAAAAACAAAAAAAATAACAAATCAATGGATTACAAGAAAAGAAAACAAACATTTTGATCATGGATTACAAAAAATTCTATTATGGGTTACAAAAACCAAAAAATTCGATCATGGATTCAAAAAAAAAAACAATTACGATCATGGATTACAAAAAAATTGATCAAGTATTACAAAAAAATCTATCATGGATTACAAAAAAAAAAAAAAAAAAAAAACCGTAACGGACTCGCCGATTCCGTACAGTGAATCGGCGATTCACTGTACAGAATCTTCCGGTTCTCTCTAGAACCAGACGATTTCCGATTTTTTAGGCGATCCGGTCCCCTTTTCACGATTTTCGAGTCGAACCGGGCGAGTCCGGTTCGACGTTTTTTAAAACACTGGTTATATCTATGGTCTTGGCATCTAGAAATTCACTATCCCAATGAAAATCACAGTTTTTTGTTATAGGAGATAATATCTACTTTTAAATATCGATAAATATCATCACCAATCTTCCTTTCTAAACCCGTTCTCCCGATCAAGCAATACTGCCGATCAATATCCTCTTTTCCATTGCAATATCTCTACTGGAAAGATAATTTCAAAAGCAACATAAAGATTTTCTCTCTTTAGAAGTAGAAGTTAACCAACTCCAAACTCATGGGAGTACCGCCCCTCTCTTAGAGGTCATGTCTCTCTCTCTTGAAGATCCATTCCTATAACTCCCAAAGGGATGTCTCTTGGAGATCCATTCTCATAACTCCCAAAGGGATGTCTTTTGGATATCCATTCTCATAACTCCCAAAGGGATGACTCTCAAAAGATGGGTATTATGTCTTCCTTAACTTTTTTATAAAGATATCACTTTCACTCTTTTATAAAAATATCACTGTTTTTTTTTTGCTTAAAGTCAAGTTTTTATCTCCTATATTACTTTAATCTTTAGAAAAATATATGAGTATAGTGATTTAGTTATAACCAAAACCAACATGAGAGAGAGAGAGAGAGTAATTGAGTAGCTATTGAAGTGTGCCTTGATTGAGTGTGAAATATGTGTGTGAGAGAGAGTAGTTGAGTGCCTTTGAAGTGTGCCCTTGATTTAGTGTGAAATCATTACGAGAGAGTGTGTGAGTTAGTAGCCGTGGTAGTAGTAGTTAATACTCCTTGCAAGTGTTCCCTTGAAAGAGTATGAATTCATATTCTATGGAATGAAGGATACCACTTGCTTATAAAATTCTTCTTAGAGCATAAGTAAAAAGCAGAAAGGGTGGGGAGTAGGGAAGGTGGTTGAAGACCGTGGATTTTAGGGTTGACGGGAGGAGCATGTGGGGTGCATGTGAGGCCATTAAATATGAAACCCACTTAGCTAATGCTTGGTGCCACTCCTAATTTTTCATTTCAGAATATGCATCCCCCCATGTGAGTAATCATTGATCTATTGAATGGCTGCCTCTTATATTCTTCTCAACTGTGGATAATTCCATTATCACTACTTGTTAACTCTCATCATTATTAATGGGTCTTCCTTTTGCCCTGTCGTTCTAGAGAGAGAGATTATTTGCATGCAGAGGTTCAGTTTTCAGGAGTTTAAAACACCCAAATAGGCTTAATTAAGAACTTCACTGGTTGAAAAAAATCGAGATTATGTGCATGCAGAGTTTCAGTTTGCAGCACACCCAAATAGAGGCTCAATTTAGAACTGCATTGGTTGAAAAATCAGTCAAGCTCACAGGTACTTGTTTCGTGTCCTCAGAGAGAGAGAGAGAGAGGCAATCCTTAGTGGTGGTGGGTCGCGGCTCCAGGTCGGATGTGGGCAACGCAGTGGCACCAGGACCACTCGAATTGCCTACTGCCTGACCGACAGTGAGCCGGCACCCTTATTTGGTGGTGACATAGACATAGACATAGACCACTCTCAAACAAACTGTGGGACTTATCAGGGGTAACATGCAACTTTTATATGTGGAGTGTAGGAAAGACAAATTCTCTCTTAGATGAGGCACATGCCGCCACAACAGATAAAAGGGGGGGTGTACAACAAATTCAAGCATTGCTGATTGATGTGCCCTCTATTGAGAGAGAGAGAGAAAGAGAGAGCCATCTCAGCTGATTGGTGCATATGAAAAATTAAAGAGTGCCACTTTAGCCAATAGAAATTCATGAGAGAGAAAGTGTCACCTATGCCAATTGAAATTCATGAGAGAGAGAGAGAGAGAGAGTCATCTCAGCCGATTGGTGCTTAATGAAAAACCTAATTGACATTAAGGAAAGAGAGCACCGGTAATTCACGTGTACATGACATTAGCCTGAATGGTTGGACTCTTGGATATGGTGATATCTAAAATCACCCACGTCAAGAAATCTTATACTACTTTGGATTGGGATTCACACCGATAAGTTTCTTAGAGAAAATAGAAATTTAAAAATATTAGGACTCTTGGGTATATCTTTTGGTTTTTAATATATATGTAATATCTATGGGAAGTTTTTTATTTTGTGTGGATTCTTAACCTTATATATATATGGGATGAAAGAGAAAAGAATATGTGTGAAAGGTGGCTAGCCATGGAGTGAAAGGAAACAAACCGAGAGGCTAGTTTCTTGTGGAGAAACAATTCTATAGAGAATGTTTTCTTTCTTTGCAGACAATGATTTAGCTGTGATTTAGGCTGGTAGTGCCAATCGGGAGAACGGGTTTAAAAGGTTCGCTCAATTGGGTTTTGTCGAGGGTTAAAGAAGTAAATTTATGCCCCAAAATCCTTGGTATAGGTATGATGGATTTCAGTGTCATACCAATGGATGTAGCCCTTTTAGGGTTAAGTAGGTAAATCTTTGTTGTTCTTTTTGGGGTGAACCGATTAAATCTGTGTTCTTTGTATTTTTGTCGCATGTTTTTTATGCTTTATTTGAGCAATGATTTCATGCAACCGTTGTATGGTATTATGATGCAACAACCTTAAAAGATCATCTTATAGCCATTTGTTTGATCTAAATTTTGAAATATACACTATTTTTTATTATAATGAACAATTACAAAAAAAGAAAAATTTAAAAACACAACCTAAAAAGTATTTTTTAATCCAATTAACACAGGCTATTCATTTTGGTGAGATGCTTAAATCTAGACCTTAAAAGGATTTTTTCATTTCTATTTTTTTTTTATGGCTTTATTTTCATTCGATGAACAATGTTAAAAAATAAACAAAATGATTTTGAGTCTATAAAGGTTAAGATCTTGAAATTTACAAAATGAATGGTCTAGATACGCTTTTGAAAGGGACTCATTTTGACCATATCTAGGGTTCAAATTGAACTTTTTTTTATTTTGGGAGGATTGTTTATTGAGATAAAAAGAGTGTGTGTAAAATTTGGGGTCATACAAATACCATAAACATGGTTTTTTAGAAATGTTATTGTATTATACTATGATGTAACTGTTACGTTAGATCATTGCTCTCTTAATTTCTTTTACTGTAGCTTGCAACCGTTGTACTAGATCATTGCTCGCTTTATTTCTTTTACTGTAGCTTGTATTCTTGCCTATTTTGTGTTTAGTTGGATAAATACAAGGGATCCAACTTTTAGAATTCTTATTTCTGCATCGGCTATTAAATCCTAACATGCACTCCATGGAATGACAAGCACACACGTTTAATACATTGAACCCACATAGTTGTAATTGGCCTGTGTGGACCACATATAACTCTCTCTCTCTCTCTCTTTCTCTCCAACTCCACTTTGATTTAATTGGTTAGAAGATTAAACTGTAAAATGTCGTATGCAATTTCCCTTCTTTACATGATGGTTAACCAAAATAACTAAACAATGAGACAAATGGGCCCTTAAATGTGAAAAATGTGACATTTGTACCCCCAGTGAAAGCTGACCTTGACCCTCAATGTGAGCTCCTTGACCGTCATTTATCTTCCCATGACCTCCATTATTTGCTCAAATCATCAAATTATTAAGTTGAACTATTTTGCCACTCATTGCTCTCGTGGACCACTGGGTGCACCACTTTCAAGTGTGAGGGCCATAACGATGAAATCATGATGGTGGTAGTTGTAGTGAGTGATTATGATGATACGATGCCCATAATTATGTTAAATTCATGCCTCAATCATGCCATCCCCGCATGTTCATGTTCATGTTCTCTGTCTTGTATAATACAATAACTTAGACCTGTGTACTCTATAACAAATGGGTGTTACAGAGAGATGGTGTTAATAGACAATTGGGTTTTTGTTAAGCAATTATGAGGAGAGGCAATTTGTTGTTTTGTATAAGAATGGGGGGAGTTAAAAAGTGTGAAGAGTTAGAATATTTTAATAGAGAATTAGGTTTCAACTTTCAACAATTACAGACAGCAGAGAAAATTGGTCCTTTTGTATAAGAATGAGAGAAGATGGAGAGTTGAATATGGTCATTGGGTTTTAACAATTATACAGCAGAGAGAATTGGTTGTTTTGTATGAGAGAGAGAGTTCCAAAGTGAGAGAGTTGAATATTTGTTAGTAGAGGATTAGGTTTCACTTTCAACAAATATAGACAGTAGAGAAAATTGGTCCTTTTGTATAAGAATGAGAGAAGAGAGAGAGTTGAATATTTTTCATCAGAGAATTGGGTTTCAACAATTATAGAGAGTAGAGAAAATTGGTTGTTTTGTATGTGAGAGAGAGTTAAAAAGTGTGAGAGAGTTGAATATTTGTTAGCAATGAATGGGGTTTGAACAATTATAGACAGTAGAGAAGATTGGTCCTTTTATATAAGAATGAGAGGAGAGAGAGAGTTGAATATTTGTCAGTAGTGAATTGGGTTTCCACAATAATACAGTAGAGAAAATTAGTTGTTTTGTATGAGAGAGAGAGAAAGAATCATTTGTTGAAGTAGTCCAAGCAGATGGAGATGCTAAGACAGGGTCTAGTCCATTGTCAAAAGGGGAACAGTGAAAGGGTCTGTCTCTGATAAAAATAAATTTCAAAGGATAAAAAACTTCAAAGTGAAGGTGTGAAAATAGATACTGACCATGTTGGAATCTTATTCCATAACTAACCCCCTTTAAAAACAGGAAAAAGGGCATTCTTGAAGAGACAGAGGGAGCAAATTAAGGGAGATTTTTGGTATAAAATACCCCTTCCAATCAAAGTCCCTTCCCCCTTTCCCTCTCCCTCTCCCCCTCTCTCTCTCTCTCTCATTGGTGCAGTGCCCTCTGCCCTCTGCTACTGAAACTGGTCAGAATTACCTGGAACAGGGGAAACTTGTAGATTTTTCCTCAGAATCTGGATTTGATGTCTTATTTATGAGATGGGTTTCCAATCTGGAGTGCTCTAATGGAGTAAGTACTATTTTTTTTGGGGTAGAGAGAGAGAAGTAGGAGTTGTAGGGGGAGTACCAGCTTCCTTCTGGTGCACTCTACACTCCGAATTCGAAGACTAGAGAGAAAAAAATCCCCGGTTCAAGGCAATCCATGGAGGTTGAGTCTGTGAAGTGTGAGTGCTGTGGCCTGAAGGAGGATTGCACCCAAGATTACATAACCCAAGTGAGAGAAAAATTCAATGGAAAATGGCTTTGTGGCCTATGTGCTGAAGCAGTAAGGGACGAGACCACTCGGTCTAAGAAGCCTACAGTCGATGAAGCCATTAAAGCTCACATGACCTTTTGTCGAAAATTCAGAGGAAACCCAGCTGTTAAAGTGGCTGATGGTATGAGACAAATGTTGAGAAGAAGGTCGGGAGATTCGTCGAAGAGCCTTCTCCGATCGGCTAGCGCTTCTTGAATTTTGCGTAAAAAGTTAAATTTTAGTCTTTGATTTTCTCCCTTTAGAATAAACTAAGGTTGCCTTGACTGTTTTTCCAATGCTTTTCACTTCAACTTTCATCAACAAAAGTGTACAGAGGAAGTAATTTCTAAGGATAAGCGGCTCCTTTCGTCCATTGGCATCTTGAATTCGACTGAGACCTCAATTTTTGCGATGATTTTCTCTCTACAATAATATTCCCTTTTTCTATATGATCAAAATCCATTTGAGACATCAAATAAAAACTACATAATTAAATTTTCTCGTGAAATTCTTTATGTTATTGAATTGAACATTGTTTTAATAAATTCATGGCCATCAAAATTTCAGGAAAATTATGGGATTTAGAAAGTTATTTCTCTCGAAGTTTATGCACTGTTTTTTATCTTTCTCCATTTTAGCAGCTTTTAAAAAATTTAGACTCAGCTGGGGACTCGCCCTTGGCTCGGTACCTGACGAGTTCGGAGGCGAAATATCGGTACTCTACCCTGTAATCTTAGTTTCTTTCTTTGACAAGCACCCGTCCGAATCATGAGTCGCCTGAGTCAAACCGGGTAACTCGTCTGGGGACCCTTGTGAGTCCCTGCCCATGCCTGAGTGCTTAAACTCGGATTAAAAGTCTGACTCTCTCTGGGATTTCTATGACCAAAAATGGGTAGAGAAACCATGCCTTGTTTACAGGTACGCTGCACGAAATTTAGATTATTTAATTTTCTACTGTTTGGAGGCGCAAGTAAAGGCAATAATGAACGGGGTTATTAATGAACATGCTGTTGTCAAATAAGTAGGTGATAGAAAGGGGCCTACTAATGAATAGGTAGAACTGACCATGTAATTCTCAAAGATATTTATCAGTGATCGAACTCGGCGAGTCCAACTCAGACTCTACAAGCTCCAGCTCCGGAGTCGTCGGATTCCTCGTTTTAAAGCACTGGTAGTCCTCGTGAACTTGGGGGAGGAAGTGGGATTATTCATCAATAAGATGGTAAATCCAAACAGCACAGTGCTTTGAGGGTAATATGGTATTAAGGTAAATTCTTATGTTTATTAAATTGCCAGGAGGGAGTGGTTTGAGGGGATAGAAAAGGATAGCTTGGCATGAAATAAATACAATACGACATCCATTCCTTTTATTTTCTTGTTCATCGAAGGGATTTATATTTTTTTATCATCAAATATATAAATGAAAAATTAAAATAATAATAATCGTTTTCATCTGAGTCTTATCTCAACTATTTAAAATCGACTATATGAATAAAACATAAAAATTTATGTACAAGATAATAATATAAATATTTTTTTTATAAACACATAATTTATTTGTGAGTTCTAACCTTTCAAATTTCCACGTGGCTCAAAAAAGGGTCCCATTATGGGAGCCAGGTCAAATAATCATTTTGATTGAAATGATTAAAGCATCCGAATCATAATAAATATCTCTTTTTTTCCCTATATTAAAATGGCAAGCTTTCTATGCTTTTTCTACAATATAAAAATTATATACTTCTCCTTATCCAACCGTCCATTCTGAATGGAAGGTTAAGTTTGTTCCAATCATAATGTCACCTCTTTACACTATTTTATTTTTAATGTTTTTTTGTAAAGTATTTTGACACTAAATTTTGTACATCCAATCCTCTATTAAGCAAGTACTAGCAAAAAATATAAAAAAAGTATTTCCAATTAAATAAAATGAGCAAAATACCCCTAAAATTTTAAGGGTTATTTTGATCATTATATTTTATCGAAAATTTATTTTTAACACTTTTTATAGGTGCACCCCAATGAGAAGATTGTATGTACCAAATTTCATATTCATACAATTTGTATAAAATAAAATAAAAATAAAATACTATGAAACTTCGGATCTAAGATCAAACGATGAGTGACTCTCTTGATCAAAATTGGACGGCTGGATGGTAGGAGAAGCATAGATCTTCTCTGTTTTAGGGGAAGAATTGAAACCTTTCGATTTTAAATTCTCAAAGCAGTTTGTATTCTTTATCAAGAAATGGTCAATGCACACCACTCATGGTCTCATACTAACTATAGTATTGTATTACAATGTTTCGGGTAAGTCACCATAATAGAATATTCAGCCCTTTTCGTTCTGGGCAATGATTTCATGCAACCATTGTATAATAATATGCACTAACATTAAAAAAACCACCGTATAACCATTTGTTTGATCCAAATTTGGAAATATATACTCTTTTCATTCTAATGAACAATCAGAAAAGAAAGAAAAAATTGAAAACATAACCTAGAAAGTATTTCTTTAGCCCAATTAACATAGGTCGTTCATTTTGGTAATATGCTTAGATCTAGGCCTTAGAAGGATTTTTTCATTTCCAATTTTTTTGGATGGCTTTATTATTATTAGATGAACAATGTTAAAAAAGAAAAAAATGATTTTGAGTTTATAAAGGCTAAGATCTTGAAATTCACAAAATGAGTGGTCTAAATTCGTTTTTGGAGGGGACTTATTTTGTCCATATCTAGAATTCAAATTGAAATTTGTTTTGGGGGGAATTGATTATTGAGATGAAGAGAGTGTATGTGTACAAAATTTGGGGTCATACAAATACCACAAATATAGTTTTCTAAAAGTATCATTGCATTATACTATAATACAACCGTTCCATTGGATCATTGCTATTTGGTTCCTAATTATGTATATCTAGAGCTAGGATAAATGTAACTCTATAAAACTACAACATGTCAAAAGCTCCCATTCATATAAATTTTTTTTTTTTGAGTAGTAACTTCTTTTCGTACATGATGAGCTGCCTCTCACATGTGTCATGGAACAAATGTTTTTTCATAATAGAACTCTAGACATCACACTGTGGTATCTATCACTACCTCTTGAAGTATTGTTTTGCCTTTTATCTTTTTCTTTTTTTTTTCTTTTTTTTCTTTTTCTTTTTTTTTTTCTTTATTTTGTACCTTTTGTTTCGTTCTACCTACTATATAATATGCCTA